AGGAATACAGTGAGTGGATAGTGATGAGACCTGTAATTTCACTAGTAAAGGGAATTTTTTTGGTGAGTAAACTTCATCTTCCAAAGCGTGAACACACTGAGAAATTAAGTGACCTGCCCCGTCACACAGGTAACATGTGTCAGAGGCTAAACTTGAGTCTAGATCTTTCCAGTTAAGAGGTCACACTTCTCAAAGACAAAACTAAAAGCAATCTCTGCCTTTAAGTAGTTTACATTCTACTGGGGGGATTTAATATGTAAACAGATAAGCATATACATGATTACTTGAGGAAGGAGAGAATACTGACAAACTAAGGGATTGTGAAAGGCTTCCCATAAATTTAAAAAGAAAAGAGTTTATCTTTTGCCCTTACATTGGAATTTGAAGCTGTTCTCACTCCCTGTCCCCACAGCCTCCATTAGCTGAAATGATCAGCGACAAAAATATTTTCTCTTTTTGCCAGTAAGTTTGGAAGACAGTGAAATGGTTGATTAAAGTCATTTGAAAAGACAATGATATTGATTAAAATTGAGCTTAATGTCACTTTTTTTTTGTCCAGGAAACAGATGAATGACTGTCATGTCTGAGAGAGAATTGGCTTTTTCTTTTGAACATTTTAAATTGCTCTAATTTTGGTAAGAAAAAAAGAAAACATAAATATTTTAAAAATCTGTGGACGTGGCTTTATAGTTTGCCTCATCTTCAAAATTATTTCATATTCACAACATTCATATAATCGGGAGTGTGGCACAGTGAACAGAGCACTAGCTTGTAGGCCAGAAGACCTGGGTTTGATTCCTGACTTTATCCCTCAGCTGTGTAACATTGGACAGGCCACTTAACCATGCTGAGCCTTAGTTTCCTCATGTAAAAAACAAAGAAAATAATATCTGTACTAGCTACCTGAAGATATGATGGTGTGTTACACATGTTTGTGTATTTGTGCTATTAAATCAATAAGCATTTATTAAGAAATGTTTACTCTGTGCCAGAGACTGTGCTAAGCACTGGGATTACAAAGAAAGGCAAAAGACAGGAGTGGAATTTATTAGGGGAAAAAAAAAAGCAGGGGTAGTGTTCATGATCTCAGACAAAGCGAAAGCTAAAATAGATTTAATCAGAAGAGAAAAGGAGGGAAACTACACTGTGTGTAAGCCATATTAATCAATATTGTTTTAGACTATCTAAAATAATTAGGCAGTATAAGGTTGGAATATTGCTGTGGTATAGGAAATGATGAGTTGGTGGACTTAAAAAAATAAGGAAAGACTCAGACTTATGAATGAAGAGGTTCTCCACCCTCAGAGAGACAGAAGACAAATAAGTACAGTATGGTCTTACATAGATCCATATGAATGTATATATCTCTATATGAGTATGATTATAGATATCTAAATATATGTGCATGTAAGTATATGTATATATGTATTTTATATGTATACATGTGTGTGTATATGAGCATATACATGCATATATATATATATGCACACACACACTTAATTGTAGCCTTCTTGGGGTAGGGGAAGAAGGGGGTGAAAACAACAAAGTAAAAAGTGTACAGCAGAGGACAAAAGAAAACTTACAAAGAAGCAAAGAAAAGTTGGACAGTTCAGAACACAATGTGTAGTGTTTATTATATAAGCTTTCTTAAAATGGAAATTTATTCCTGTATATTTTGAATCCTCTCAAGTTCTGCTGTGCACACGACAATGCCTTTTAAAATTTTCTTATTTTGTATATAAGTTTTAGTATTTAATTTCATTATGTTTCTTTGTTTCTTATTGTATATTTAAGTTTAAAATAATTTTAAAAAAAGAAAGGCAAAAGACAGTCTCTGTTTTCAAGGAACTCACAGTCTAAGGGGGTGGAGGGGGGAGATAATATGCAAACAACTAGGTACATATAGGGGCAGCTAGGTGGCACAATGGATAGAACACTGGGCCTTCAGCCAGGAAGATACATCTTCCTGAGTTTAAATCTAGCCCTAGATGTTTACTAGCTGTGTGACCCTGGGCAATTCACTTAACCCTGTTTGCCTTAGTTTCCTCATCTATAAAATCAGCTGGAGAAGGAAATGGCAAACCACTCCAATATCTCTGCCAAGAAAACCCCAAATGGGGCCACAAAGAGTAGGACATGACTGAACAGTAACAAGGTACATACAAAATATATATAGAATTAATGAAAGTAAATAGCATTAGGGAAGATCAGGAAAAGCCTTTTATAGAAGGTGGAATGTTATCACTGAGGGAAGGCAATAAGGTTAAGGAGAAGTGAGAAGAGCTTCTTGCAGAAAGGGTGACTGTAGCTGAGATTTGGAGTCAGAAAATCAAGGAGGTGAAGACAAAAAAGTGAGAGGGAAAGGCATGGAGGACAGATAGCCAGGGAAAAATGCATGCAATCAGAAGAAGGAGTGTTATATACTGGGAATAGCAAGAAGACCAATGTTATTGGGTGGAAGAATGTGGGGAGGGAAGTAAGGTATAAGAAGACTAGAAAAACAGGAAAGGCCAGGTTATGAAGAACTTTAAAAACCAAACAGAAGATTTTATATTTGGTCCTGGAAGTAATAGAGAACTACTGGAGTTTATTGAATAGGAAAGTAACCAGGGTCAGATCATGTATGCAAATTTTAAAATTGACTCATATTTTCCTCATGGACAATAGTAGTAGCGGCAGTATTTGTATATCTCTCACTTTAAGGTTTTATAGTTATCTCTATTGATCCTCAAAACAATCCTGTGAAATGAATACTATTATTATCTCTATCATTTTGCAGATGGGGAAACTGAGTCTGAGAGAAATCAAGTGACTTGTCCAGGGTCACATAGGTGAGAAGTATCTGAGACAGAATTTGAACTCAGCTTCCTGATTCCAAGTCTATCCATTAATGTATAAAATGAAGGGGTTTGGATTAGATGACCCCTGGTCCCCTCTAACCTTGGATCTATGAGCTTATGTTCCTACAATTCTATAATTAGAATGAATTAGAGAGTCAGAAAGAAGTTGAGAACAGAGAGTTTCATGCCATTAGGTCTATGTGCTCTCTGCTAGGAAACCATGGGCGTATTAATGAGATGATTGCTTATAAATAATGGCTAACTACAGAGAACTTTTATGTCAATGATTCAATTTGATCCCCTAAAGCACCATGTGATGGTTTCTTCTATCCGTGTTTATTAGCAGAATAGCATAATCCAGAGTCTGTGGGTTTCTAGAAGGTGATTAATCCATGATTCAAATCCGGACAATTTCAGGCACCATTACAGGCCTCAGAGGTTTTTGGTTTGTGTGGACTTTCTAGCAGCCTCTGCTGCCTGCTCCACTAGTTTATTAAAAACCTAATCCTAAGGTTGAAAGTCTACAAATTTTATTCTCTCCATCTCAAAGAAGACATGGAAAATTTTTCTAGTCTTTTTTCAGTTGTGCTTGATTATGCTTTTAGAGTTCTCAATTCCTGGTCTGTGTTCCAAAGTCATGAAGTTGATTAATTTCTTTATTTTATTTCTTTTTTTATCCAAATTAAAAGAAAATATTTCACATTAATAGTACTTTAACTTGAATTTATCCATGCTGTTGAAATATTGCCATTACTCTCATAATTAAGCACTCACAAAATATTTCTAACATGCTTAGTTACACTATAAAAGAATACCTCCCTTACATAACATATGTATGGTGCTTATGACTTATAAAATCATTCTACATCCATTATTGTCTCATTGATTTTATATACATATATATAAACATATGCATACACACACTCACACACATATATGTATATGTATAGGCAGGAATCATGATTTTTTGCCCTGTTTACCTTATAGGGTTATTGTGTGGAAAGGTCCTTATAAACCTTAATATTCAAGGAAAAAAAATGAGCTATTGTTATTATCCTCATTATAAAGATGAGGAAACTAAGTTTGAGTGATTTGACCAAGGTCACATAAAAAAGAGAATTGGGATTTGAGTCCAGGTTTCATAAATTCAGTCAGACATCATCAACATTGAATCCAACCCATAATCCTCTCTATGATATCTCCGATAATTGATCTTTTAGTCTTGTCCTGAAGACCTCCAAGTTTGAGGGAAGAAGGATCCACTCACTAAGTCCCATGGTAGCACATTCTGCCTTGAGATAATCCTTATTGTTAGGAAGTTAGCCTCAGTCTGCCTCCCTGTAATTCTTGTCTATTAATGTGAGTTTAGCCTTCTGGGGCCTAGCACTACATGATGCTGCCTTCTAAGAATATTTTAAATAGAATACCTTGTTATTCAATTTTTCTTCTATAGTTTTGGACAGATCCACTGAGATAGTAATAATGATTATTGCAGAATTCATCCTTAGTAACAAGAATAACAGCTTCTAGCATAATTTCTTTCTGAACTCTATTGAGGATGAGAAAAAATGATAATAATAATTAATAACTGACATGAATAAAGTACTTTAATTTTTGCAAAGAACTTTACTGAATGACCTCACTTGACCTTCACAACAACCTTACTGGTATGTACTAAATGTGTTAGTATTCCTTTTGTACTGATGAGGAAACAGGCTCAGAAAGGGTAAGAGCTTTACTTGCTCAAGAGACATACACGCAGCTGTACCATATCAATGTCATTATATGAAGAAGGAGAGAAAATCAGAGGAACCACTGAGAAACAGTTAAAGTTAGAAATGCTAGCTTTGGAGTTTAGCTTGCAGACAGCTGGACCATGTGATGGGAATATTTTTAAATCTTGGAATGAAAAGCAATTAAGAGGGGGATCTGTTTAAGGATTTAGTTACAAGCCCTCTTGGAGAAATGAACTGGAGCAAAGAAAGCAATAGGGGGATAAATAGCCTTTGCCTCCCAGTGAGAAGATCTCAATTTCAATACTTTGGTTTGGGTTCAAGGAACTCCATTTCAACTCCAGAGTCAGAGCAGATCAGAATTTAGAAAGTAGGCATGCAATGAACATTAGAAAAGCAAAGACCATCAGGATGAGTGAGAACTTACTCTTCTTGGCTTCATCGAGTTTATCTTTGGCTCGTTTTTCTGCCTGCAAAAGTTGCTGGATTCCCTGAGACTGACTGGCCAACATTGTCTCCGTGGGATCAGGCTGTCTTGAGGAACTCTGATCCCTGGAGGGGGGGTGGGTGAGAGAGATTTATACTTTCAGTTATCATCACATCGCTTGGAATGTTTTGTCAACAAATTCTGGGCATAGTTATCTTGCATCAAACTAGCTAGCTCAGGTCAGATAGCCACAGCACTCACAAAAAGCAGAGTACAATTCAGAAAATCAAGGTAATTTATTTCTAGGGACTTTCAGAACTTGCAATTTGGGGAGTCTAAGAGCTGTCTTACTTTTGATGAAAAGAAATTTCAGTTAATAGGAGGGGTAAAGTAGCATAGGAGTAGAATGTTGAATTTGGCACCAGAAAGAAATGGATTCAAATTTCGTTTTTGACAGAACACTAGTGTGTGTGACCACAGACAAGACATTTAATCTTTCTAAGCCTCAGTTTTCTTGTCTGTTAAATGTGGATACCCGAAATACAAATCTTATAGACTAATTGTCAGGGTCTAATGAAATAATGTATATAAAGTGCTTTGCAATGTCTGAAGCATAATCAAAATGTCAGTTATCATTATTATCTATTTATATACTTAGAACTGGAAGAAACTCTAGTATCTCATCCAACCTATCATTTTACAAATAAAGAAACTGAGAGCAAAAGATTAAATGACTTGTCCAAGGTCAAACAGTAAATGACAAAAGCAGTATTGGAACCCAAGTCCTTTGACTACAAAACCAATGCTCTCCTAGAGTTTTGTAACATGAGTATTAAACTAGATTTGAATGAATATGGTCATATAGGAAAAGACTATGAACTTGATGAAGGTGGATCTGAGAAACCTGCAAACAGGGTGAACATTGTCTCTAAACTTTATTGGTGAAGTAAATTGACCAAAAGGGAGCTGTGGATTTTAATTACAGGCAGGGAGAAGAGATTCCATTCAATTGAAGAAATATTTATTAATTTTTAATGTCTACTTTGTGTTAGCCACTGGAACAGAAGATTAAAAAAAAGGCAATTCTTGCCCTCAAGGAGCTAACAGTTTACTAGAGGAATGTATCATGTGCACAAATAATGACAATGCAGGTCAGGGGGTAATTAAGTGTGGAATTATGGGACTGTGGCTTGGGAATAGCAAGAGGCCAGGATGAATTATGGTTTGGGAGATCAGAGATCTACACCTTAATTTATAATATATTGATTACTCTGTTGAAGTTTTATTTGTTGTTGTTCAGTTGTGTTCAACACTTCATGACCCCATTTGCGATTTTCTTGGAAAAGATATTGGAGTAGTTTGCCATTTCCTTCTCTAGCTCATTTTATAGATGAGGAAACTGAGGCAAACAAAGTTAGGTGACTTCCCTAGGGTCACACAGCTGGTGTCTAAGGCTAGATTTAAACTCAGGAAGGTCCAGGCTTGGCACTCTATCCATTATGCCACCCTGCTGCCCTCTTGAAGTTCTGTAGAAATCATCATTCAAGACCTACTTATTTTTAGCCAGATAATAGGAATTTAAAACTTTTTCTTTAGCTATTTGTTTAGTGTGATGAAATTATTTGATTCAGGTATATTAAACATCTCGAAAGGAAGACAATCCTCGATTTTTTTTTTAATTTGGAAGGGGGAGAACATTTGTTCTTTTTCTTTCTTTTTCTAGGCCTCAGAAGATAAAGGTGCTAAATTTTCTTTGGGTGTCTATAGAAATGTAGCATGTAAGCATTCCCTATAGCTCTAATTATGGGGGATGAAGTTTGTAATATTCTTCTTTAATTTACTCTTGTTACAGGAAATAATGGAGAAACCCAAGAGTAAATTAGAATCTTTAAAAAATGAATATGATAGAAATGGCATTGGGGCATATGGCATCTTTATTAGTTGAATTAATTTGAAAACTAGTCAGCAATGAGGCTAATGGGTCACTAGTGAGTTCCTGAGGCAGAATTTGAGCTTGTCTATTGCCAAGTCCTGTCAGTTCTATTTCTCAGTATGTGTCCCCTTTTCTCCTCTGACACCATCTTGGTGCTTTAGGCTCAGTCTCCCTCATTTGTAAAATGAGGATGTTAATATCACCTGTAGTACATACCTTGGGTGGCTAGGTGGTGCAGTGGCTAGAGCACCAGGCCTGGAATCAGGAAGACTCCTCTCCCTCAGTTCAAATCTGGCCTCAGACACTTATTAATGGTGTGACTCTGGGTAAGTCATTTAACCCTGTTGCTTCGGAGAGAATGAAATGGCAAACCACTCCAGCATCTTTGCCAAGAAAATCCCAAATGGGGTCATGAAAAGTTGGACATGACTGAAAAACAACTGAACCACAAAAGTATTTACCTCTTAGAGTTGTTGTGAGTATCCAATGAAATAATATATTTAAAGTACTTCACAACCTTTAAGTCCTATACAAGAAGCATCAGTTATTATTACAAAGTATTTTGTTGTAATTTTAAAAGAATCAGGACTACAAACAAATTCTACCTTGTGTCAAACACTCATGAGTCTCAGGACCCAAGTAGAGCTGGATTATTTTCACACCCTCTTGGTTGGGGTTATAGCCCCAATCCAGGAAACCCAGGAAAACCTAAGCTTAGCATCCCTCATTATATGGAGCCAGACTTTCTCACTTGCAATCACACAACTCATAAGTATATAAAGTACTTTGCAAACCTTAAAGCATTTTTTGAATGTTAGCTATTATTATAATGGACAATATTTAGTGTCTATGTGAGTGCCAGGTGTAGTCCTCAGTGACAAAAGCAGGAGAAATCACTCAGCTCTTGCCCTAGAGGAATTTACACTGTAACTGGGTAAAAGAAAGGCAAACACAAGGAAATCCATATGATTGCCAATGACAAGAATACATATACATTTACCAAGTCAGCAGTTCCCATCTAAAGATCTACATAGAAATGCTAAGTAACCAGAATTGGGACTGAAGAAAGGGGTGGGGTAGGGGCCCGGTTCCCTGAAGGCAACTAGTTAAAGAATTGTTGACTTATAGTGGGGAAGGGAGAAGGAAATAAACATTTATATAGAGCCTACTACGTGAGGGACAGTGTGGGAAGCACTTTACAAATATTACCTCATTTTGCCCTCAAAACAACTCCTTGTGAGGTAGATGTTGTTATTGTCCTCATTTGCAGTTGAAGAAACTGAGGCAGAGAGAGGTTAAGTGCATCACATAGCTAGTAAATGTCCAAGGACAAATTTGAACTCAGATCTTCCTGATTCCAGGTCCATCTCTCTAACTACTGAACTATCTAGCTGAAGAGATATGGCAGAGGTGAATCTTGATCAGTGTTTTGAATAAAATGAGAAACAAAATAGAGCATTAAAGAATACGGATGGCATTTCAGATGTTGGAGGCGGTATGGTGAATCCATATTAAAATATTGAAAAGTGTTTGTGAGACCAGAAAAGTAGGTCTACTTGACAAGTGTAACTACTGTTTACAGTGAGAAGAAGCAAATCTGGGAAATGTTACGGGAAAATTGGCAGTTCTGAAAATGAAATAAATAGGCCTTTCCTGCTTACCCCCAACTTCAAATCACTTTGTATTTATTTATGTTTTGTTTAATTTTGAACACACATGCATACACATACATATATACAATATGAATGAAAGACAGAATGAGGGAGACAGAGACAGAGAGACCAAGAGACAGTCTTCTCTGATGGAATGTAAGGTCCTTGGAGGCAAGTATTGTTGTATCCTCAGTGCCTCTAGTACTTAATAGGTGTTTTATAAATGCTTGTTGATTGATTGAATGAAAAGTAATGACAATGGGAATGACAATGGGAAATGAGATAAAAATCTTGAGGCTAATAGAGATGAAAAAGTTGGAAAGAAGGATCCAGTGAGGTTTGGAGATGAGAGAACTGTGTTGCTGATGAAATATTCAGTTTCATTAGATAATGGAGTGCAGGGCAGGCAGAGACACTCAATAAATCTGTGTTGAAAACAAAAACTGTCAGGCTAGAGAGAATAGGAGGTGCTGTATAGATACCAGATTCCATCTGGCTCTCCAAGGAGGGTGGGGGCTGGATGCTGCTCTAATTATAGAAGATAGAAACCTATGGCTGGGAAACAATAGTGTTGGATAGCAGAGGTCAGAAGTTGAGGATAAATCAATAGTTAACACAGGAGGCAGAGTTCATAAGGAGAATTCGTTTTCCATTTAGAGATTTTGGTATGCATTACTAACTACAGACCTTTAATACTATATCTGAGTGAATTGTATTTGTAACTTCTGCCGTATAAAGTTGGTGATATTTTTGTACATGTGTTAGAATTAAGAAAGTTAGAAATCTACTTAAGTTCCTGAATATTGACCTACCCTCTTAGAATTAGCCTTACTGCCAACTATACCTTTAGAACCAAGAGCTCTTAACCTTCCTTTGGGTCACATTTGTTTGTTGTCTCCTTTATGAAATTGTGAGCTCCTTGAGGGCAAGAATTGTCTTTTGCCTCTTTTGTAACCCAAGAACTTAGCACAGTGCCTGACACGTAGTAGGTGTCTAATAAATGTGTATTGACTATTTTGTTTTTTTTTTTAGATTCATGGAGCCATGAGAAACTTACGGACCCCTTCTCAGGAATTGTACTTTTAAATGTATAAAATAAAATACATAGCATTACAAAGGAAATTACAATTATATTGAAATAATTATCTAACTATTTAAAAAACACATTCATGGATCACAGGTTAAAATCCCTTGCCTTAGAGGAACTGAGAAATTTGGTCTGGGACCAGGAATGGTGTCACATGCCTATAGTTCCTGCTACTGTAGAGGATGAAACTGGTAGATAGCTTGAGGTTGGAGAGTTTTGAATTCAGTAGGGCAAAAGTCAAAATCATGTCTTGTCTGGCACCAATATGGTGAGCCTCTGGCATTGTGTTGAAGGAAGGGCATCAAGCTGCCTAAGGAGGGGAGAATTTGTTTAGGTGGGAAATGAAGCAGAGTCAAATCATCTATACTTGATCAACAGAAGGTTTAAGCCTATGAGGAGCCTCTGCATTTCCA